CTGGGCGTGGTGGCTTGCACCTGTAATCCCAGCACTTTGGGAGGTGGAGGTGAGAGGACTACCTAAGGCCAGCAGGTTGAGACTGTGGGGGCTGTGAGTATGCCACTGCACTTCAGCCTGGGCAACAGAGTGAGACTCTGACAAAAAAAAAAAAAAAAATAGTTCTTAATTTTGAAAGTCCAATTTTTTCTTAAATTGATCAGGCTTTTGGTGTTGTATCTAAAAACGAATTCCCAAACCTGAAGTCATACAGGTTTTCTCCTAGAAGCTTTATAGTCTTGTTTTACATTTATGTCTGTGACCCATTTTGAGTTAGTTTGGATATAAGGTGTTAGGTATGTGTTTAGGTGTATTCTTTTGCTTATGAGCATACAATTTTTCCTATATCATTTGTTGAAAAGGCTCTTCTCAACTGGGCACTGTGGCTCATGCCTATATCCCAGCACTTTGGAAGGCCAAGGTTAGAGGATTGCCTGAGCTCGCAGGTTCGAGGCCAGCCTGGGCAGCTTGGTGAGACCTTATCTCTACAATAAATTTTAAAAAAGAAAAGGCTCTTCTCTTTCTGTGGAATTGCTTTTTACACTTTTGTAAAGAGTCATTTGAGCATATTTGTGAGGGTTTATTTCTGGGTTTCCTATTCTGTTCCTGTATATTTATCCTTTCATGGATACCGCCTTGTCTTAATTATTGTGGTTGTATAGGAAGTTTAGAAATCAAGTAATGTGAGTTCTTTTTTATCTTCAAACTATTTTTGTCTTCTTTTTTTTTTAAGTCAGGGTTTCACTCTGTCACCCATGCTGGAGTTCAGTGGCATGATAACAGTTCACCACAGCCTTGACCTCCTGGGCTCAGGTGATCCTTCTGCTTCAGCCTCCCAGGTAGCTGGGACTATGGGTGTATACCATTATGCTTGGCTAGTTTTTTTACTTTTTGTAGAGACAAGGTCTCGCTGTGTTGCCTTGACTGGTCTCAAACTTTTGGGCTCAAGCAGTCCTCTCACCTTAGCCTCCCAAAGTGCTGGGATTATACTTGTGAGCCTCTACACCTGGCTCTATTTTTATCTTTAATGTGCAGCTCTTGTAGGCAGCATATAGTTGGTGTTGCTTTATATTTCCCATTTCTATGTCTTTGCTTCCGTATGAATTTCTTTTGGTCTGTTTCCCAGTTGACTTTTTCCCTCTTCATCTACTCTGCGTTTTTGTTGTTGTTGTTGTTTTGAGTCAAGGTCTCACTCTGTCACTCAGGCTGAAGTGCAGTGGCATGATCACAGCTCACTGCAGCCTCCACCTCCTAGGTACAGGTGATCCTTCTGTCTCAGTCTACTGAGTAGCTGGAACTACAGGTATGTGCTACCACACCCAGCTAAATTTTTTATTTTTTTGAAGAGTCAAGGTCTCACTGTGTTGCCTAGGTTGGTCTTGAATTCCTGGGCTTAAGAAATCCTGCTGCCTCAGCCTCCCAAAGACCATACTCAGTCTTCTGGTCTTCTAGTCTACTCTTAAGTTCATCTATTGACTTCTAAATTTCAGTTATCATATATTTCATCCCTAGGAGTTCTATTTCATTTTGTTCTTTTTCAAATCTGCTTATTAATTTGTATAGTCTTTTGGTCCTTTTTCATACTTGGTATACTAATCTTTTTTGACAGTTCAGGTATCTAAAGTCTTTATATGTCTCTCTTCTTTAATTGGATTTCTCTTGTGATGTTTTATTTTTGTGTCGTTCTGATTTCTTTTTTACCCTGTATTCATTTTTCTTGGAACTTTATTTGTGGGAATTATTTGGATCTCTTTCTTTAGGTAGAGCATAATTTGATTCTGCTGAAAGTCTGGATGCATTTCCAACCCTAAACCCCTTTAAAACTTTATATGCTTAAGGTTTTTGCAAAACACACACACCCATATAAATCTACCTTGTCTTTAAGGATTATTTAGGGGACAATTTTTGACAGCCTTGTGTAACAGAGGTCTGAGACAAGAAATTAATTTTGTTTGATGTTTATTTTTTATTGATCCAGGCACTGAAGACCCCTTTGGAGCTCTACCTTTATGAGGGAAGATATCTTATTAGAGCTCTGTTCTTGGGCTTGCTCTAAGCTTTTCTCCTTTCTCCTGTGTCCTTTTGTCCTTTGTAGCTGTTGGGCTAGAATGCTCAAATTTCTCTGCATTCAAGTGAAAGCTGATCTGTGTTTCAGCTTTCATTTTATTTTTTAATTTTTGTAATTTTTATTTATTTTTGAGTTGGAGTCTCACTCTGTCACCCAGACTGGAGTGCAGTGGCCACTCCTGGCCCCCGCAGCCTCGACCTGCTGAGTTCCGGCAATCCTTCCGCCTCAGCCTTCCGAGTAGCTGGAACTACAGGCATGCACTACCACACCTGGCTGATTTTTTATTTATTGTAGAGATGAGGTCTCACCAAGTTGCCCAGGCGGGTCTCGAACCCGCGGGCTCAGGCAGTCCACTCACCTCAGCCTCCCAAGGCGCGGGATTACAGGCTGAGCTACCGAGCCCAGCTAGTTCTAGAATCTTAATTGTTTGATATATGTGTTTTACAAGATATCTAAAATCTTGGCTAGTTGTTCTTACTTGAGGACAAAACCACCCCCACAGGGAAGAAAGTGTTTTAAGTATGTACATGTGATTGGTTTTGAATTTGACAGTGATGAGAGATATTATTGTCATATAGCAAATAGAAGCTAGGTATGCTGAAGGTCTTACTGCATTGGGCAGTCTTGCTCAGTTAAGAATTGTTCTTGGCTGGGCTCGGAGGCTTCCCCTATAATCCCAACACTTTGGGAGGCCGAGGTGTGTGGACTGCCGGAGCCCGTGGGTTCGAGACCAGCCCAGGCACCTTAGTGAGACTGTGTCTCTACAATAAATAAAAAAATTAACCAGGCGTGGTAGTGCTTGCCTGTAGTTCCAGGCGTGGTAGTGCTTGCCTGTGGTAGTGCTTGCCTGTAGTTCCGGCTACTTGGAAGACTGAGGCAGAAGGATCACCGGAGCCCAGCAGGTTGATGCTGGGGTGGCTGTGAGTACACCACTGCACTCCAGCCTGGGCGAAAGAGTGAGACTCCAACACACACACACACACACACACACACACACACACACACACACACACACACAAAGAATTGTTCTCAAATACCAATGTTACCCTCTTTGGGAACCACAAATCAGCAGTTCCCATCCTTTTTGGCATCAGGGACTGGGTTCATGGAAGACAATTTTTCCACGGACTGGGGAGGAGGGCATGTGGTTTTGAGATGATTCAGATGTATAACATTTAATGTGTACTTTATTTCTGTTATTATTATGTTGTAATATATAATTAGATAATTATACAACTCATCATTTGAAAAAAAAGAGGCTGGGCTCGGTGGCTCAGCCTGTAATCCCAGCACTTTGAGAGGCCAAGGCAGGTAGATTGCCTGAGCCTGCAGGTTCGAGACCAGCCCGGGCAACTTGATGAGACTTCAACTCTACAATAAATTAAAAATTATCCAGGCATGGTAGCATGCACCTGCAGTTCTAGCTGCTTGGAAGGCTGAGGCAGAAGGATAGGTGGAGCCCAGCAGGTGGACACTGGGGTGACTGTGAGTGTGCCACTTCACTCCAGCCTGGGTGAAGGAATGAGACTCCAACTCAAAAAACAATAAAAAAAGAGGCACTGACAGAAGTGGTAAAGTAATGTATGGACCACACATGGGCTAAAATAAGTGTCAGATTCCGACTTAAAGCCTGCCATCAAATGTAGCTACATAATTGAAGTACATCACTCACTGATAGGGTTTTGATATGAGTCTGCAAGCAATTGATTTGTTACGGTCTGTGCAGTCCAACCGTACTGCTAATGTTAATCCGTACTTGCAGCCACTCCTTAGCGCTACTTCCTCAGCTCCACCTCAGATCACCAGGCATTAGAGTCTCATAAGGAATGCACAACCTAGATCCCTCACGTGTGCAGTTCACAATAGGGTTCGCTTTCTGAGAATCTAATGCTGCCGCTGATCTGACAGGAGGCAGAGCTCAGGCGGTAATGCAAGAGATAGGGAGCAACTGTAAATACAGATGAAACTTTGCTTGCTCAACTGCCACTCACCTCCTGCTGTGAGGCCTGGTTCCTAACCAATCTGGGGCCCTGGGGTTGGGGCTCCTGAACTACATTATTTACTGAGAGCCTATTCACGTTTCTTATTCAATAGGTGGATAGATGGATGAATTTACAATGATAAATATATATACATATATTTTTTGAGTTGGAGTCTCACTCTTGTTGCCCAGGATGGAGTGCAGTGTCACAGTCACAGCCACAGCAGCCTCGACCTGCTGGGCTCAGGCGATCCTTCCGCCTCAGCCTGCCAAGTAGTTGAAACTACAGACGCATGCTACCAAGCCCGGCTAGATAAATATTTTAATAACATTTTTTCTCCCTCAAAGTATAATGTAAGATTAGGATATTGTATAAATTATCCATTCTTGTGTAACAAATTAAACCTCAGTGTCTGAAAGCAACAAACCTGTCACAGTTTCCATGGTTTAGGAATCTGCTAGTTGCTTACCTGGTTGGAGCTGGTTCAGGGTCTCGCATGATGTAGTAATCAAGGGCTGCTGTCATCTCAGGGTGCTGTGGGGAGACAATCACCTTCAAGCGCCTCATGTGCCTGTTGGTAGGCCTCAGTTCCTTGCCATATGGACTTCTCTATATGGTGCCCTCACAACATGGCAGCCAGATTCTCCCCAGAGGGAGCAAGAGAGAACTCCCAAGGTGGAAGTTGCATCCTTTTATAACCTAATCTTGGAAATGACATCCCATCACTTTGCACTATTCTATTCAGGGAAGTGAGTCTATAAGTACAGCCCATACTCAAGAGAGGATACACAAAAGCATGAATACCAGGAGTCAGGGATCACTGGGGCCATCGTAGAGGCTGCCTACCACAAATAAAAAAGAAAGCCTGTATTCTACAAGACCTAATGAGAATCACTTCAGATTTAACAGGAATGGTGCTTTTCCAGATATCGTTTGAAGATGTGGCTGTGGATTTCACGTTGGAGGAATGGCAGCTACTTAATCCTCTTCAAAAGAATTTGTACAGAGATGTGATGTTGGAGAACTATACCAATCTAGTTTTCTTGGGTAAGGACATTCTTCTGATGTAATTTAGTATATGACCAATAACTGTGGTGCCTCTAAGATGTTTACTCTGAATATGAGTTTCAGATGTCAGAGATTCTTTTGATTTCTATACCAAATTGAAAGATCTCATGCACTTGCTTTATTTCACAGCCTTTGTAATTAAACATTCTTTGTTTGTTCTTTTTTGAATCAGGGTCTCACTCTGTCACCCAGGCTGGAGTGCAGTGGCGTGATCGTGACTTGCTGCAGCCCTGAGCTCCTGGGCTCAGGTTGTCCTTTCACCTCAGCCTCCTGAATAGCTGGGACTACAGGCATGTGCCACTACACCCAGCTAATTTTTAAAATATCTATTTGTAGAGACAAGGTCTCACTATGTTATCTAGGCTGGTCTCGAACTCAAGCAATCCTCAGGCTTCCTCATTCTTCATATTTAAAAGTTTGTTAGCCCAAGCAGTTGGGTTCAGGTCCTCTGTGTTTCTAACCAACAGGTCATCAAATTACCATACCTGATGCAATTTGCAAACTGGAACAAGAAGAACCATGGATAATAGATCAAAAACTCCTATGTCAGAACTTTTCAGGTGAGAAGTAATCATGTTTACAGGACATAGTGATGACAGGTGAATACCTTTGAAGTGTTTATAAAATTATGTTTAAAGTTCCTAAATTCTGGGAGGCTGAGGTGAGTGAATTGCCTGAGCCCGCGGGTTCGAGACCCACCTGGGTAACTTGGTGAGACCTCATCTCTACAATAAATAAAAAGATTAGCCGGGTACGGTAGCACGCGCCTGTAGTTCCAGCTACTTGGAAGGCTAAGGCGGAAGGATCGCCAGAGCCCAGCAGGTCGAGGCTGTGGTGGCCAGGAGCGGCCACTGCATTCCAGTCTGGGCGACCGAGTGAGACTCCGACTCAAAAAAAAAAAAAAAAGTTCCTAAATTCAAGACTGGCAGCATGAGTTCTTCCTGATTTTCAGTTAATGCTCTATATCCTGGTCTCTATATCAGGATATGTCTTCTTTGCTGTGGAATTTGTAATGAAATATATCCCCCTTTACCCATTTGGTGGCACACATTGATGGCCAGTCACTTAGGACCCTGCATTCTTGGATAAGGTGCTGCTTTGGCCTCCTTTCCTTCTTCTTCTCAGCCCCCAATCTAGTATGTGGAGGTAGACTTTTTTCCTCTTCTTTAAGAATTCGTTTCTTTTTCTCATTTTAGATAATACTGATTACCTCTGAGTTTATTTTTAAACTTTTATTATTTTTCTTTTCTTTCTCTAATTTGGCTTATTTGTTTTAAACCCACAAAGTACAAGGTGAATCCATAGATATAGAATAAAAATCTAATCCCATTAACATAATAAGATTCTGCCTCTTCCCTTCCTCTGTGGAGACTAAGAACTTTGAAGTCAGCTTTTAATACATTTTTCTTGTGCATTTGATGTTTAGCTTCTCTAAAATTCCTCACTCATTTATCAAATAGTATGATGGGCTTAAGTCCCTCATTACTTGCTGTGTTATATGTAAACTCCATTTATGTTGCAGAACCTCATGGTATGGCAACATCTTACTTATCTAGTTTATTTTCTGTGCCCAGAATTCATGGCGAACTCCATGTGAACTAATTACTGTCTCAGTGTCTTTCATACAATTTTCTCTGCATCTGGGCCTTTGATTACAATATGCTTTCTCCATTTAGCTACTACCCCACTCTTCAGTTTGAACTTTTTTTTTGAGTTGGAGTCTCACTCTATTGCCCAGGCTGGAGTGCAGTGGCACACTCACGGTCATCCTAGCGTTGACCTGCTGGACTGTGGCTATCCTTCCACCTCAGCCTTCCAAGTAGCTGGAACTACATAAGCACATGCTAACCACACCCAGCTAATTCTTGATTTATTGTAGCGATGGGGTCTCGCCAAGTTGCTCGGACTGGTCTCGAACCCATGGGCTCAGGCAATCCACTTGCCTTGGCCTTCCAAAGTACTGGGATTACAGGCTGAACCACCAAGCCCAGCCAGTTTGAATTGTTTTTTTCACCTCCAGTGAATGTTCCTCGACTCCCAGCCTTGTCTAAAATCTCTACCACTTAGCATCTATATCATAAGAACTCAGAACTGATCAGACATTATCTGTACTTCCCAAAACAATGAGTACTTAAGATTTTTTCTCACTGAGAGATTGTCAATAAGTTATACTTTTCTATTCTCTGTGGAATTTGTGTTGTGTAATTATTAACTGTTTCATTAATTGGTTATTATGGAGCCAAGTAAAGCAAAATCATTCTTATTTGTTGAATTCCTCTTCAATACAAAGATTTCCTTCTAAATGTGCATCAGCCTACCTTGGATAATATTTGAAATTACAGTTGTCTAGGTACCATTTACATTAGCTCTGTGTATATGTAGTGTGCTAAAGCTATGGAGATAGAGGTTATGTTTCTCAACTAATTTAGAACCACTGCTCTAGCTGGTTGTGGTGGTTCACACCTGTAATCCCAGCACTTTGGGAGGCAGAGGTCAGAGGGTTGCCTGAGCCCAGAGATTCAAGACTAGTCTGGGCAACTTGGCAAGACCTTGTCTCTACAATAAACTTAAACGTTAGCCAAGTGTGGTGGCACACGCCTGTAGTTCCAGCTACCTGGAAGGCTGATGTGGAAGGATCACTTGAGCCTAGGAAGTCGAGGCCGTGGTAGTCATGTATACTACTGCACTCCAAGCTGAGTGACAGAGTGAGACTCTCACTGAACAAAGCAGAAGCAAAACGCACTCTCTTATGTGGCATGAGAGGAACTTAAAGGAAGTCATAAAATAATCTTGAAGCATAGAATTTTAATTTAAAAGAAAATACAGACTATAAAATGTTTGATAATTCAGTATTTTAACATGGAACATTTGTGTTAAAGTTCAGATAAATTTTCAAGACTAAGGATACAGAAAGGAACTTCTTTAGAAGCTGAGTGATAAGTAAACAGTATTTATCCTGTATGTATTGAGGACTTGTTATGTGCTGTGCAGGAGGGGCACATCAATGAAAAGTACAAACCTGTTCCTTCCCTCCTGTGGTTTACATTTCAGTTGGAGAGACAGAAGTAATATGAAGGAAATAAATGGGATATTTGTTAGTGAGCTGTCAAAATGATGAATGAACCAGGCATGCTCAAAACTGGCAAGAGATGCCAAATAGAGGAACAGTAAATGCAGAGGTTTGAAGGCCAAAAAGATCTTTGTAATAATAGAAGTGGGAAGGAAAACAGTGTGACGGACGAGTGGTGAGTTCCTGTAGTTGCAGTGACTGTGAGAAAGCTGTCTCCCAGAAATGAAAGCTCATTACACATTAGAAAACGCATAAAGGAGAGAAGCCCTGTAAATGTAGTAACTCTGCAAAAGATATCTTTTGGAATTGAAGGGCTGGAAGAAACCAGATCATGCAGGGACATGCATGCCATGATAAAAGTTTGAGTTTATCAAAGGGAGCAGAGAATGTGAAGATTACTGTGTGGAGACCAGAATTGTGAGCTAGACTGAAGGCAGGAAAATAAGTTGGAGAAGCAGGATGAAATGGAGGTCATATGGGCCACAGTGTGGCAGAAATAGAGACTGGAGACATTTACATGCACCCCTAAATAATACCAATAAAAGATGGTCCACTTGTTTTCCAAAATGACAAGATTCTTAAATTTCTTAAATATTTTTTTTACACAACTATCTAAACCTTTGCAGATGAGTTACTTTATTATTTAATTTATTAATTTATATGAATATGGCTGGGCTTGGTGGCTCAGCCTGTAATCCCAGCACTTTGGGAGGCCAAGGTGAGTGGATTGCCTGAACCTGCAGGTTCGAGACCCGCTTGGGCAACTTGGTGAGACCTCTTTCTACAATAAATCAAAAAATTAGCCGGGTGTGGTAGCACACGCCTGTAGTTCCAGCTACTTGGAAGGCTGAGGCGGAAGGATCGCTGGAGCCCAGCTGGTGAGGCTGCGGTGGCCGGGAGCAGCCACTGCACTCCAGTCTGGGCGACAGAGTGAGACTCCAACTCAAAAAAAAAAATATATATATATATATATATTTTTTGTTGTTGTTGTTGTTGTTGTTGTTTGTTTGAGTTGGAGTCTCATTCTGTTGCCCAGGCTGGAGTGCAGTGGCACACTCATGGCCTACTTTACTTTTTGATGATATTCTTTACTAGCAATTGTGAAGTGACAGTCCCAGGAAGTACTCTGAAAGATAAAAGATTTGGCAAGTTCTCAAACATAAAATACCAACTACTTCTTTTCTGAGGGATAATTATTTTGGGGAGAAAAAGCCTCGTGTAATTCTCAGATATCAGAATTTCAGAGGAAGCATCACCTAGAGCTACTGATACAGAGGAGAATAAAAGGAAGACTTGATCTTAATATTTTGGGTGTAAACAAGTAAAGATTATGTTATTCACCACGATGAAAAAGACTATGGAGCTCAAAAGCAAGAGTCACGTAGACAAAGTGTGTGATCCACTTGAAGAGCTTACAGAAAATTGATTATGAGATACTGAAGCAATGAAAAACAATAATACTAAATTAAAATCACATTAAGCTATGTGAGTAAGAAATATATTCATCTAGGCTGGGCTTGGTGACTTAGCCTGCAATCCCAGCACTTTGGGAGGCCGAGGCGAGTGCATTGCCTGAGCCTGCATGTTTGAGACCAGCTAGAGCAACTTTGTGAGACCTCGTCGCTACATAAATCAAAATTAGCCGGGCATGGTAGCATGCGCCTGTCATTTCAGCTACTTAAAAGGTTTAGGTGGAAGGATTGCTGGAGCCCAGCAAGTTGATGCTTTGTTGGAGCCCAGCAGGTTGATGTTGAGGTGATTGTGAGAGTGCCACTGCACTCCAGTCTGGGTGACAGAGTAAGACTCCAACTCAAAAAAAAAAAAAAAAATGTAAGGTAGGCCAGGCAGGGTGGCTCAAGCCTGTAATCCCAGTACCTTGGGAAGCCAACACAAGAGGATTGCCTGAACCCAGGGGTTCAAGACCAGCCTGGGCAACTTAATGAAACCTCATCCTCATCTCTACAATAAATAAGAAAATAAGCCGGGTGTGGTAGCGTGTCTGTAGTTCTAGCTACTTGGAAGACTGAGGCAGAAGGATTGCCTGAGCCCAGCAGGTTGAGGCTGCGGTGACTGTGAGCGTACCACTGCACTCCATTCTGGACGACAGAGTGGGCTCCAAACTCAAAAAAAAAAAGTAAAGTAAACAAACCCTTTAAGGCTCACTTTAAAATACTCTATAAATGGCTATATTGTGGAAATCACGAACAATTAACTGCATCATATCCAGTATTTTTTCTAGTATACCATTCAACAATGTATACTAATGTACTTTTTTTGTTCTTGTCATTCACATTCTTAACTACATTGTGAAGATGTTGGGGGTTCTTCTTTGTCTTTTTCCCTTATCTTCTGCTACTAACATTTTGGACACATAGTACATAATTATAGATTATTACTAAATAAGGAAATTAACCATTCCAGTAATTGATGAGAAATTGATCCAGACACTTTTTATCTCATGATCACTGTTGCTTGAGTATATTCCATACTTTTGTTAGTTAAAAGTTCATATTTTTAAACATTTGTAATTTTGAAATCCATTTTCATTTCTGTTAAAGTTTTAAATTCCCAGCAAGGAGACATTATTTGAGGGTTTTCTTTTTTTAAAGTGGGATCACGGCTCCATTTCAGAAGATTTAATCAATAAGCATAATTGTTGAGGAAATTTTATAATATTAATAAGCATAATTGTTGAGAAATTATATAATATTCTTTTTTTTTTCCTTTTTAGAAGAACTCTGGCTACATAATAATTCTAAAATGCAGCCCCAAGATTATCAAGACAAGCTTAAGAGTATGGAGAGAGGATATGAATATGTTTTTGAGAAAATATTGAATTCAAGCATAAACTTTTTTCATTTAGGAATGAGATCCCATAAATGTGGCACAAGTGAAAAAAGTTTGAAACATCCTTTTGATTCTCTTATTCCAAAAAATAACTGTGGAAGAAAGAAACTTGATGAACTCAATAAGAAATTATTATTCTGTATCAAACCTGACAGAACACATGGTGGATTAAAATACTGTGAGTGCAATAAATGTAGAAGAGCCAGCAGTGGAGAGTCATGGCTCATTGCAAATCATATAAAACATACAGGAGTTTATTTATGCATGGAATGTGGCAAAATTTTTCATAAGAAGTCACAGTTTATTATACACCAGAGAATTCATACAGGAGAGAAACCCTATCAATGCAGTGAATGTGGAAAAGCCTTCTCACAGAAGTCACTGCTTACCATTCATCAAAGAACTCATTCAGGAGAAAAACCATATGGGTGTGGTGAATGTAAAAAAGCCTTCGGTAGGCGGTCACTCCTCATTTTACATCAGAGAACTCATACTGGAGAGAAGCCCTATGAATGCAGCGAATGTGCAAAAGCCTTCAGCAGAAAGTCACAGCTTAAAAGACATCAGATAACTCATACCACAGAGAAACCCTACAGCTGCAATGACTGTGGGAAAGCATTCTCCCAGAAATTAAAGCTCATTACACATGAAAGAATGCATTCAGGAGAGAAGCCTTATGAATGTAGTGACTGTGGAAAAGCATTCTTTTGGAAGTCACAGCTTATTACCCATCATAGGACACATACAGGGAAGAAACCTTATGCATGTAGTGAGTGTAAAAAAGCCTTCAGCAGGAACTCACTCCTCATTAGGCATCAGAGGATTCATACAGGAGAGAAACCCTATGAATGCAGTGAATGTGGTGAGGCCTTCATCAGAAAACCACAGCTTATCAAACATCAAATAACTCATACAGGAGAGAAGAACTATCAATGCAATGACTGTGAAGAAGCCTTCTTTAAGAAGTCGGAGTTAATAAGACATCAAAAAATTCATTTAGGAGAGAAACCCTATCGGTGTATTGAATGCGGGAAAACCTTCTTTGGGAAATCACAACTCCTAACACATCAGAGAACTCACACTGGGGAGAAACCTTATGAATGCAGTGAATGTGGCAAAGCCTTCACCCAGAAGTCAAGTCTGATATCGCATCAGAGAACACATACAGGTGAGAGACCCTATGAATGTAGTGAATGCAGGAAAACCTTCAGTGAGAAGTCAAGTCTCATTCATCATCATAGAACCCATACTGGAGAAAAGCCCTTTGAATGTAACGAGTGTAGGAAAGCTTTTGCCTGGAAGCCACAGCTCCTTAGACATCAGAGAATTCATACAGGGGAGAAACCCTATGAATGCAGTGAATGTGGGAAAGCATTTGTTCAGAAAGTGCAGCTCATTAAGCATCAGAGAAATCACACAGGAGAGAAGACCTATGGATGCAGTGATTGTGCAAAAGCTTTCTTTGAGAAGGGACAGCTCCTTATGCACCAGAGAATTCATACAGGAGAAAGACCATATAAATGTGGTGAATGTGGGAAGTCCTTCACTAGAAAGTCACACCTTATGAGGCATCAAAGAATTCACACAGGAGTCAAATCTTATGGATGCAAGGAATGTGGGAGCACCTTTAACGGGAAGTCACAGCTCATGATACATCAGAGAAGCCATATAATATAGAGATCATATAATATAGACAATGGAGTGAATGTGGAAAGCCTGCTATCGGAGGTCATATATATAGAATATATAGAAGAGAAACACTATTGAGTCAGTCATTGTTGAAAAACCTTTAACTGAAGTGTGAAAAGCCATGAAACAGGATTCACAAAGGAGAGAACATTTTTTTTTTTTTTTAGTTGAAGTCTCTCACTCTGTCGCCCAGACTGGAGTGCGGTGGCTGCTCCCAGCCACCACAGCCTCGACCTGCTGGGCTCCAGCAATCCTTCTGCCTCAGCCTTCCAAGTAGCTGGAATTACAGGCACACAATACCATGTCTGGCTACGTTTTTGATTTATTGTAGAGATGAGGTCTCGCCAAGTTGCCCGGGCGGGTCTCAAACCTGCGGGCTCAGGCAGTCCACTCACCTCAGCCTCCCAAAGCGCGGGATTACAGGCTGAGCCACCGAGCCCGGCTAGAGAGAACATTTTTAAAGTAGATAACACATAAAATCCTTCTCCCAGTAGATTCAACTCATTAGACTTGGGATGGCTTATCAAGGTGAAAATCTTGTCACTATTGTGATAGTACAGAAGTTTTTAGTCAAGTTATAGCTTGTTAAACATTTAAAAGATATAAACAGGAGAAAAATGCTATTGTAACAAGCAAAAGATTTCATCAAGAAAGAACAACTCACTGTACACTAGAAAATACTTACAAAATGATATAATGAATGTTTTCTCTTTTTTTTTGAGTTGGAGTCTCACTCTATCGCCCAGACTGGAGTGCAGCGGCCGCTCCCGGCCACCACAGCCTCAACCTGCTGGGCTCCAGGATTCTTCCGCCTCAGCCTTCCAAGTAGCTGGAACTATAGGTGCGCACTACCATGCCCGGCTCATTTTTTGATTTATTGTAGAGATGAGGCCTCGCCAAGTTGCCCAGGTGGGTCTTGAACCGCGGGCTCAGGCAATCCACTCACCTCAGCCTCCCAAGGCGCGGGATTACAAAATGAGCCACCGAGCCCGGCTATGAATGTTTTATATTAGAGACTTCATACTGAGGCGTAGTCTTAATAATTTGATGAATTTTGCTGGGCATGTTGACTCATGCCTGTAATCCAAGAACTTTGGGTGGCTGAGGCGAGAGGACTGCCTGAGCCCATGGGTTTGAGATCAGCCTGGGCAATTTGGTAAGACCTTGTCTCTACAATAAATCAAACAATTAACTGGGCGTGGTGGCGTGTTCCTGTGGTTCCACTACTTGGAAGGCTGAGGTGGAAGGATCACCTGAGCCTAGCAGGTCTGAGGCTATGGTGACCATGAGCATGCCATTGCACTCCAGCCTGAGTGAGATTCCTACTCAAAAATAATAATAATTTGATGAACTTGATAAGCATGACCCTATTGAAATAATTCTGAAAGGAAGTTGTGCTTACTGTATATGTATTATTACAAAAAGTAGTCAATTTTAAGTGGTAGGCGTATTTAATTAAGTATGAAGATGTCTGCTTTCTGCTGTGATGGAATAACAAGGATCAGATTAACTCTTCTAATGAGCTAGAAACTACTATATATAAAATATAAAGATTTTTAGATATGACAAAGCATGAGGTTGTGATCCCTGACAGAACATAGACAAAGTGAGGCCAGCCCTGTTAGTACCGAGCCTACTCCCTACTGGCAATTATCAGATTGTAGTTGAGGGAAGGGAACAAACACAGCCTTGCTGAATTGAGGAAACAGGATTGGCATTTGGGGAGCTAGAATTTGCATGGGAAAGTACTGGAGAAGAGGGTAGCTTCCCAAAGCTAGGAAAGCTGCAAGGAGGCTCCTGAGTCCTTTGAATCAGTAATGATTTACCCATGTGAAAAGGGTAACTTCCTGAGGCCAGTAGAAGAAACAAAAGCAGTAGGCCAAACAATTCCTGGAGTTTGTGCAGGGCTGTCAGTGATTTATGTTCCACCAGCTAGAGTGGAAACAAATTGTAACGGAATATCTGGTATAATTCTCAGAAGAGTATTCTTTTAGTAGTAAGGTTAATTATCCCTAGATTAAAAGCAGCTGTGTATCTAAAATGTCTGACATCCAAAAATACTTGTCTGGAATGCAAAGAAAGAGGAAATTATAGCCAGGATAAAACTCCACCATTACAGACCCAGAAGAGACAAAGGTAGAATTAGTAGACAAGGATGTTAAATTAGCTGTTATAAAGTAAAGTTAAATGCGAATTTGATGGAACTTACGATATGAGCAATATTGTATTTTGTTATTATTTTACATAGGAAAATATAGTTTATTTAAAAAGTAAATTAAGCTGGGCTCGGTGGTTCAGCCTGTAATCTCGCGCCTTTGGGAGGCTGAGGTGAGTGGATTGCCTGAGCCTGCGGGTTCGAGACCCACCCGGGCAGTGAGACCTCATCTCTGCAATAAATCAAAAAATCAGCCGGGCATGGTAGCGCATGCCTGTAATTCCGGCTACTCGGAAGACCGAGGTGGAAGGATCGCCAGAGCCCAGGAGGTCGAGGCTGTGGTGGCCAGGAGCGGCCACTGCACTCCAGTCTGGGCAACAGAGTGAGACTCTAACTCAAAAAAAAATAAAAAAATAAAAATAAAAATAAATAAAAAGTAAATTAGAGGTCGGGCACAGTGGCTCAAGCCTGTAATCCCAGCACTTTGGGAGGCTAAGGCGAGAGGATTGCCTGAGCACATGGGTTCAAGACCAGCCTAAGCAACATGGTAAGACTCATCTCTACAATAAATAATTTTTAAAAATAGCTGGGTGTGGTAGCATATTCCTGTAGTTCCAACTACTTGGAAGGCTGAGGCGGAAGGATCGCCAGAGCCCAGCAGGCCGACACTGTGGTGGCCGTGAGCATGCCGTTGTACTTCAGCCTGGGCGACGGAGTGAAACTCCAACTCAAAAAAAAAAAAAAAAAAGGGAGAGAGAGAGAAAGGAAGAGGAAATTCACCCCTCCAGGGCAAGGAAAAGGGCCAAAGCCAGGAAGCACGGTGACAGCCATGGCTCAAGGAGCACGTGGCCACACCAGAGTCTAGTAAGACAATGGCTGAGTGATGTTTTAAATGATCCAAAGGGAACTTTTAGAGATTGAAACAAATCAGCATTTAAAGAAATCCTGGGTGGACAGAGTAGATACGGAAGAAAAACGTCAATGAACTTGAATAGTAAGAATAAAAGCTATCCAAATGATGAACAGAGAGAGAAAAAGACTTTTTAAAAACATGGAAATCAGCCGGACTCGGTGGCTCAGCCTGTAATCCTGCACCCTTGGGCGGCTGAGGTGAGTGGATTGCCTGATCCCACGGGTTTGAGAGCCCGCCTGGGCAACTTGGCGAGACCTCATCTCTACAATAAATCAAAAACCAGCTGGGCGTGGTAGCGCGTGCCTGTAGTTGCAGCTACTTGGAAGGCTGAGGCGGAAGGATTGCCGGAGCCCAGCAGGTTGAGGCTGTGGTGGCCGGGAGCGGCCACTGCACTCCAGTCTGGGCAACAGAGTGAGACTCCAACTCAAAAAAAACTTGGAGACCGACCGGGCACGGTACCTCAGCCTGTGATCCCAGTACTTTGGGAGGCCAAGGAAAGAGGATTGTCTGAGCCCAGGGATTCAAGACCAGCTTGGGCAACTTGGTGAAACCTCATTTCTACAATAAATCACAAAAGCTAGCCGGGTGTGGTGGCGTGCGTTTGTAGTTCCAGCTGCTTGGAAGACTGAAGTGGAAGAATCGCCTAAGTCCAGCAGGTTGAGGCTGCGGTGGCCATGATCATGCCATTGCACTCCAGCCTGGGAAACAAGAGAGAGACTCCAACTCAAAAAAAGCCATAGAGACAATAGGAAAAGAGTGCTGTAATATATGTGTAATTGAAGTTGCTGAAGAAGAGAAAAAGAAGAGGCATAAAAAATGTATTTGAGGCCAGACTCGGTGGCTCAGCCTGTCATGCTAGCACTTTGGAAGGCTGAGGTGAGTGTATTGCCTGAACCCAAGGGTTTGAGACCACCTGGGCAACTTGGTGAGACCTCGTCTCTACAACAAATTAGAAAAAAATTATTTGGGCATGGTGGTGCACGCCTGTAGTTCTGGCTCTTTGGAAGGCTGAGGTGGAAGGATCACTGGAGCCCGGCAGGTCAATGCTGGGGTGGTCATGAGTATGCCATTGCACTCCAGCCTGGGTGACAGAGTGATATGCCAACTAAAAAATGTATTTGAATAAATAGTGGCTGAACATTTTCCAAATAGGATGAAACCAATAACTCCACATATTTGAAAAGCTCAACAAAACCAAAAGAGTATAAACATAAAGAAGATTCCAGCAATGCATATTATTATGACACTGATGAAAACAGTGATAAAGAGAAAAATTCTAAAGCACCTGAAGGAAAAAAAAAAAGACAATACATACACAGGGACAAAGAATGGCAGGGTACTTCTGGGAGAACTATGCAAGCTAAAAGACAGACAAAATAATCACCTGTAGACCTACCAGCAGAAAACACTAAAGAAAGTTTGGGGGCAGCAAGATAATTATACAGAGCAGATGTTTGGATCTATATGAAGGAATGAAGTTCTGGACATGGTAAATGTGTCAGTAAATATAAAGATATTTTTTCTCATTTTAAAATATTTTATAAAGGAAACTGGCTGCTTAAAAGCCAAAGTAATTGTGTATTTTTGGCCTATGATATATTTAGAAGTGCAGCAATTCAGTATGAGTCTTTTAAAGTAGTTGAATAAATGGCATCATCTGGGTCAGAAACCGATTTCTTCTGGGCTCAGGATGACTTATTTTTGTAGCAGCTGCACAACAGGAATTGTACATATTCTGGATCTGTATATGTGCTCAGTATTCTTCAAATACATTTTCCTCCCTTGTCTGCTCTGCACCCCCCAGAAGTTGTCTTTCAGAGACTGCTTCATGGGGGTTTCCTCTTAAAGTTGAATAATGGGAGGTACCAGAAGGAGATCAGAGGGTGGGAGGAGAGAGGTGGTTGGAGTATTTATTACTTCTCCTTCCTGGACCATAGTTTTGGCAGTTTCTGTGTTCCTGTGTGGCTACAGCTCCCTT